AGAAGAGAAAGCTCTCAATGAACCTCCCTGGACTGCCTGAGTATTGGAAGGAGCAATTGCCTGGTAAGACAAACGGAGAATCGAAAACCTTACGCCTGCGGACCTAGACCAGTGAGGCTACCACCCGGCTAGAGGGCTGAGCTACATCCCCAATGTCAAGCTCTCTCGCCCTATTGGCCCAACCCCATCCATCTCATAGCACTAGGTGGGGGTGCCCCTGGGACGAACGACCCGCCCCCTGAGACTGAGCGTGGGCGGGTCGAGCCAAGTGGGACCCGCAGTGGGGTCGACCAAGGCTCAAAATTCCTTCAGGGTTCGGCCCCGACAACGTCATCACCTACTCAACCTCACTTGCCTGCGCGCCACCTGGCGCATACCACATGCTAATGTCGTTGTCAAGAGATTAACTCCGATACCAAATTGTAATGAACCAGATCGTAAAACAGTTGTCAACAATGCAAGTCCAAATAAATGTCCATCGGTTGATGATTACTCATAGTCCAAATCGTAACTAGACAGAATGAGGTGAGGTAATCATACACAGACGAAGAAAGGGGAGGGAGAAGAGACAAAGGAGAGGAGTATAATGCCCACTCCTGCTTCGGGCTCCCTCTTCTACTACCACCTCAACAATCAATAGTCTGAATCGAGTATCCGAGTATCCTCAATGTGCCAAGTGGCATGTCTAATCAGTTCCACATCAGCATCTGGAGCAATGTCGACATGAAGACCACCAGGTACGTAACCTCGAACTCTCCAGTCCTGATCTCCTTCTGAAGTGACGACGAAACAGAACAGCAATGCCGATCCTGTAGTCCCCGCAATAGAACACGTGGACAGCAGCCACGTCGGCCAAATGAAACACGTGGCAGCAGCCACATCAGCGAAGGCGCATGGCAGCTGCCACGTCAGCATGCCAAGAAGACAGGAGCAAGCCGGCCACCATGTCGGAATAGCAGCGCCTCGCCAAGTTACAATGCCAGCAGCGTCGAGCCAGCGTCGTAGCGTCAAGCCAGCGTCGAAGTCAATTTCGTGAAGTCAGCATCAACGCAAGACAAAATGAATT